TACAAAATTTTGACTCATTCTGGTAGTTACATGCTAGGCTTCACTAGGAGTGCCATCTGACTGAACGATCTCCAAATTGACTCAATATACCGATGTCAATTTTTATTCTCTTTATGAAAATCAATTACAATCAATTACCCACTAACACGACAGAAAATACTGTTCCGACTGGTTCCACTATAGATACATTGTTAACCACTATTAATATCCTCTGTTCTTAAAAACATATAATATCCAGATTTTTCTGCCTTCTTTTTAGTTGATTACTTCAAAAATAATATGATTAGTGAGAACAATGGGCAAAAGAAATAAAAAACAAGGTTTCATTGCTAATTAATCTATTGCAATATTTTCTAAAATTACAGGAAAAACAGTTGCTTATTCTAAGAAATGACCCATAGATTTCTGTGAGCTAACAGAACAGCAGCAGGAGAAATCAGTCCAACTCATTTTGTGCTTTTGCGTGGAATTTACTGGAACACAAGTTTGCAGATCCACACTTCTCAAACACATAATCAATGTCCAAAGAGCAACCCAGCCCAGTTTCTGGAGATACATTTATTTCTCAGTATGATCATTATAAAAGAACTTCTTTGAAAGACGGTTGTTGACTTAGTAGCTAAGTAACATAAAAAGCATTTCTTACGAAGCTAAGCTCTTTTATTACTTAAAAGTAGTAAAATAAATATACAACGTGCAGAGAAAACAAATTTATTACTGTATTTTAGGGACAAATACCCTCAATATTTATCTTAAAGCTCTTTTCCCTTGGCTTCATCATGATTTAAGTCCCTGGAGCACATGATTATGATAGAATTTGATCTATCGACATACAAGTACTAGTTCCTACAAGTTAATATACATTTTATTTTAAGAATATAGGGACTTTCCATGAACTTCCATGCACTTTTTACTTCATTGTAAAACAAAAAGTGTCCAGGTATTTTTCCAGTTCTTCAAGATAAGATTTCTAAAGTGCTCTACTGGCAATATGCTAGTTTCCTGAAAAATGAATCCAACCTTTTCACCAGCTGTTTTTTTCATTCTATTTCAGTTTTCCAAGAAAACCATTAGCAGAGTAAGGAAACAGTAGTATAATTCTAAGCAGAGAATCAGAAATTAACACTGCATGTGGATTCTGACAAAGAAGTTGCAACTCTGATAAGCTGTATTTTGGCTCTAATGACAGCCTTAGGGCATCCATGTGTGTACATGTAATAAATCACCCAATTGAAAAGATAATTACTGAGGGGGAAAAGAGCTTTCTTACTAGCAATTACACTAAACTGTTTGAATTAACATACCCACAGATGGGTCTTTGTTGTCCTACTTACACATTAGAGAGAAGAATGTTTCATTATACTAGTTCACTCACTTGAAAGGAAAGAAATCAGGATCTGGTTATTAATCACACTAATACTTCTTAGTTTATGAAGCCTTTGTAGGCTTTTGACTGCAAAACCAATGTAGAACAAAAGGTTAATTAGGCTTTTAGGCCCAATTTTTCAAAGGCAGTGAAAGCTGGACAATATTTAGGTGAAAACAACAATCTCTTTAAGCTGGAGGGTTGGATTCAGAAATA